TATATATATATATATATTTAAGCAAAAGTAACGCATAAAAAGTAACAATTTTTGATTATGAAAATTATCGAGTAAGTAAAACAAAAAAAAATTAACAATATTAAAATACAATTCGAGGAGATCTAAATTTCAAAAAATTTCCTTAACAACCTTAAATTAGAAAATTTAATGAAAAAATATAATATTTTTAATTTAAATTTATAAAATTGTAAAATATATAAATATGTTAAGTAATTCTTTGTAACAGCTGAAATAATTGGAAATATCGGGAAACCAACCCGAAAATCAAAACTCCATGTCAGATATATAAATGGCCTTAAATGCCAAATAAAAGTACCAGGTTTTAAGAAGAAAAAAAATCAAATATTTAGAAAGTTCGTTTTTACTTTCTGAGTCTAAAGTTCAGAAATAAATTAACGTGTTGTGAAAATTTGATAAACATTATTGCTTAAAAAAATAGTTAAATATATGTATGTCTTGAAATTCACTATATTAATAATTATATTTTGTTTTTTTCAAACATTAAAAATTTTTGTTTGTAAATTTTAAATAATGAAAGTTTTTGAGGGTGTGCTAAATATATACCATAATAATTCCCTTTATAATCAAAAATAAAGTTATGAATATAGAACACTTTTTTAATTTTTCAATTTACTATTAGGATAGATTTATATGTTTTTATAACTAAAATGTTCGGATTATTGTATAATCCGAAAACGAAGAAAAAAAATTTCTTCAAAAAATACGAAATCAATAGCATTATGAAATTATTATAATGATGATGTGCTCTAACTCGCCAAAAAGTTTCTCGCAATCCATTACGCAGCTCCCTGTTATTTATAACGTTTTTAAACTTGAATATTTTGATACAAAAACGATTAAAAATGTCATTTAAAAAACAATCGGTAGTATTAGGAGCAAAACTCATTTCAAATTTAAAATCCCTTCCCTTGATCTAGGTGAGATCAAGAGAGTTATTGAACTTATGAACTATAACTGTAATAACTCGGTTGAATTTTTTTTTGTTGATAAATTTGGCTCTTTTAGAATAAAACGGTACTTGTTCGTGATTACGAACAACCGACTACTACAAGAGAATAACTAAGTTTTCCTTGAAAAAGAAATGCTTCCGTTTTAAATGAACAAATGTCCTTTGAATGTTTTACAATCGCTTTCCTTATTTGTAAAAAACACTCAGACACGATGGTCTCGCTATAGTCTATTATTATCTTTATTTTAAATGATGTTTTTGAGATAAAATCTTTTGCATTGTTACTAAAATACAGAAACGAGGGAAATTGTGCACGCTTATCAAAAAATGACAATTGCATCACAAAACAGAGCAAACATCATCTAAAAAATAGGATAATTTTCCGTTTTATATTATTGCATTGGGAAAAGAAAGTTAAAATGAAATGTACTTACTGAAATTACATGGGGCAATACAGCAATATGTCACAAGTTTAAGTGAAAAACGTTTTTTTTAAAAACAAACAAACATAATAATTAATTAAATAAAATAATAAATATATAAAATATCACGGTTTGCATGTAGGGAATAAGTTTTCTGTTGGCTGCTTTAACATTTAGAAGAAAGTCCAGAAACTTTCTTCTGGAACCATTGTTTCATTGGAGACGGAAACTTCCGTGTTTGAAATTTTCATATTTAATTCGCTTGGAGCAATGCAGCAAAAGGGCACATTTATAAATTTTGGTATAGAAAAATGCAACGGCAATTAGATGTTTCAGCGCGTCATGTTGCTATTTAGAAAAAAGTTCAGAAATTTTATTCTGGAAATATTGTGTCGATTCAGGAAGGAAACTTAAAAGGAAATTCACATAATTGAATTTGTTTTGGGCAATACAGCAACGAGGCTCATTTTTGAATTGTGCAGAAAAGCTTTCGATTGGATTTAGTCAGCAAATTACACACACTCTTTCTTTCTTTTTTCTCTCTTTGGTTGATATAATTGAAATTGTTATCTGTTTTAGGCGTAAGTCAGTCAACCTCTTCAAGTTCATGTCATTCACAGAAAGCAGGAAGTTCCTCTTTGAGTCGTGTTGCTGTTCCCGTTCGGAAACTAACTTTCAAGACGTAAAATTGGTGATAGCTAGATGCCTTAAAGATGAAAAAGACATTTTTGCTAACCAACAAACAACACCTCTTTCCACTCTTAAAGCTACTCGCGAGGAAGCGAGATTCTAGAAAGATTTTGCAATTCGCGGTAAAGCAAATTGTGGTATGCGTGACGGATGCACTTCTATAGAACTTTCATAATTTCGATAAAATGTCTACATTGAGAGGTACTGGAAAACCAAATCTTTATTTCTGTTCATTATGCAAATGAAACAAAGTCAAAAGCATGCTAGCTTCTTAATCTCGGGGAATGATTTACCATACCTGCTATCCATTACCAAGCCAGCAGCTTTTGAAGTGTTTCAAATTCACTGTGGCTTGCTGTAATTTTGCTTGCCATCGTACTTCTCAGAACGTCTCAGTAAGATATCAAATATTTTTAACAGCTAGGAATGTGACAAAATTGAGGAGTGCTCTAAAAAACGGTCCACATAGAATAACTTTTGATCTAATGATCGGATCTTCACGTTCTGGTTAGGAGGAGTGACCTCAAATATGCTAATAAACTAGTGCAGACGATACTTTAAGTTACGAAATTAGAAACAAAAACTTATTTTCTTCGAATAAACATGCCTTTTTCCCAAAAGGAATTCGGATTTCTGAATCGCAAAATATCGGGGGTAGTCGCTATCTTGGAAATATGGTCCCCATAGTATAATCAGGAGATTTATTCAAAATTTAAACTCATTAATGTTAATTTTGTATTGTACATTTCAGCAAAAAAAATGGACCAAGAATATCATTTAAATCCGAAGATTGGAGAGAGTAACTAATTACGGATGTGAAATAAACGATGCAAAAGTATCCAAGATTCCTTTAAAAAACCTCATGCAATAGAAAAAAATATAGTTGCTCTCCAGGGTCAAAATATCTTTCTTTTAAGTAGCTGAAGAGAGTCTTTGTATACAAGAATTTTTTTTGAAATTTTATTTTAAAGAAAACTTTTTACAATGAGAACCAAACAGAACTTCAAAGTGATTGGTGGAAATCGGTAAGGTAGATTTAAACAATGGACAAATATTTTTTTTTAAATAGAAAAAAAACCTATGTTTATTCAGTTGTATCTCATTTCACGAATTCAAAGGGGGGGGGGTGAGAAATAAAACAATATTTAAGCTAAAACCTTCCTCATATTTCTCGCATAAGTGCCCACTTAGAATTGGAATTCAAGATAGAAATGTTACTCAGATTAATTTGCATTCTCGTTTCAACAGTTGTATATTGTACAGCATTTGATTTATTTAAAAAAGCACGTGAGCATGTCATTCTTGTAGCCGTAACCACCACTGTAAGATGTGCTTTTCACCAATATTGTGACTGTGGTATGCATTTACTTCCAATATTTTTTCTGTAGTCGAAATTTGCATGTATAATAGACTAATTTTAATTTTTATTTCATAACCGTCACCGGACTTTCTGAGGTAGTTAAAACGCATCAACTTCGCATGGAGAGGAAAACATGGTTAGCGTGACGGTAATGGGACTCTAAACCATGCGTAGCACTGAGAATATTTATGTCAGTGCGGAGCTTGTATGGCCCAGCCATCGCTGGGATTCGAACATGGTCCACTTCATTGGATGGTGCACGCTCTATCCCCTAAGCCACCACTGCTCTCTATTAGACTAATTTTATTTTATAACCGTATTTGAACAGCCGACTCTAGTA